ACAATATGCGGTCTATTGTCGCAATCATCACTTTCATTAAAATCAAAATGCCGCACAACTATATATTCTAAACTCTTTTCTCAAAAAAAGATCTAAGAGACTTATTTGAAAGTTTCTAAAACATAGAAGGGCTTAGATCTTTAAAAAAATTGACTACACCCATTTTTAGATAAATAAGTTACTAAAATGTGTATTTAGTTTTTCAAAAAAATACAGTAATCGATTAAAGGATAAAAAGAGGATTGAGCATTTTGTTTTTGTTTAGGTAAAAATAGATTAATTTCAATTGGATGCAATTGAGAGTTATAAAAAAATATGTCCTTTTCATGGGAATATATAGACTGAAAACATGTTTACATAATTAGTTAAAAAATAAGGCATACTCAATAAATTAGAATATGCATTTTAAATCAATGTTATAATCGACTAATAAGTGATTTTTGTTTAGTAAAACTAAATAGTAAAATCATTATATCGTGTGCCGTGCACGGGATATGCATTTTAAACCAATGTTATAATCGATTAATAAGTGAATTTTCTTTAGTGAAACTAAACAGTAAAATCATTATATCCCGTGCACGGCACGGGTAAAAATACTAGTATAGTAAAGAACAAAATTGGGCTCGTATTTATAGTGTAGTGCTATGTGCTCGTGATTTTAAAAAATACATCAAGCCCTTCTATGTTATTATTAATCATGTGCATAACACTCCATATAAGTAAATTTATCAAAACAGAAAGTCATGTATCTTAGAGTTATGATTGAACATGCAACTACATTTTTCAAAATCTCTAAACTGTAGAAAAATATTTGTCATTTGTGATTTATCTTGAGCTTAATGCACCAAACCTCCATGTGAAATATAAATTTGAAAAATTTTAAATCATTTATCTTAATAAGATTGAATATGCATGTAGCTTTGTTAAGATGTCTAAATTATACAAAAATGCTAATCATTTATCATTTATTTGGAAATTAAATTTGCACATAAATAGAATTTCGCTAATGAATAACTATAACACAAAGCGGTTTGAAGCCCCATTATTTAAATCACATGCGGGTAATGAGTCAAATTTATACTAGCATATTATAAGGGAGTTTAGTGCATATTGTGCATTAAATTCCCTTTTTTATTATGTACAAAACTATTAATTCTTGTACTGTGGGGAAAAAGTCATACCCCCAAACTATCAAATCACTCCATCAACGCCCCCAAACTATAACGGGAGATTTACCTTAATAGGATCAAAACATGTTTTTTTTTTTCAAAATAGGAGTACCTAGTTTAAACATCCTTAAATAGAACTTTTTATTAGTGATTGGACCAAAATACCCCTTACAACCTTTACCACTGCTGCCCAGGGACTGTCGGACCGCCGCCTGCCGCCTGCCGCCGCCGGAAAAATTCCAGATTTTTTTTGGAGGTTTGCCAACATTCTGCCGCCACCTGCCGGCGGCCGCTGCCGCCGCCGGAAACCGCTGCTGCCGCCGGAAACCGCTTCTTCCGCTGCCGCCAAGCCGCCGCCACCTCCGGACTGCCCCACTACCAACGGACTGCCTTGGTTGTGCAAGAGAACTAGGGGGGGCAATTAATTGAGTTAATTAATTGTCGGAGTTGCCGCCGCCGCCGGCCGTTGCCGGAGTGCTGCCGCCACCACGGACTGCCCCGCCACCGATGGACTGCCTTGGTTGTGCAAGGAAACTAGGGGGGACAATTATTTAGATCAAATAGAATTAGGAGTAAAAAATGTAAAGTTAGTCCTATTTAGAGAAAACCATGCATGTGGTCCTATTTCGAGAAAAAGGTTGAGTTTTAGTCCTATGTTGGACAATTTTCTCAACTATAAAAAGCCAATCCCACCAATTTGTTATCCGGTAAATTGTTAATGTTGCTGCACATGTGGCTCTCCATGTCTCCGTCCAAACCTTGTTCAAGATTTATTGACAAGAATCAAGAATATCTCCGGCAGTCAATCTATATCCATCTGAGAATCGATGTGAGCAAGAATTTTGAGATATGTTGTTGGGTTAATCCTGCTGCTATCCCTCCTTACCAAGCACAAGCAATAATTCACTGCCTAATGGCTTCCGACCTTAGCGGATAAGAGTAGTATAGTCTTATAGGTATCCTAGAATCAGATCAAGCCTCTAATAGTGTAATTATAATGGTGGTAGACTAAGAGTCCATTTGATAACATTAAAATTGGCTGAATTGATTGATTCTGCTGAAATTAATGAAGTTCGGGTTGAAGAGCTGATTCTGCTGATATATGAAAAAATAATATTTAAAATATTTTTCATTAATAAATAAAATAAAGAATTATATGAAAAATAGCTAAAATAATCCTCTACAGTAACTTCAACCAATACAGTAAGAAAAATAACTTCAACCTTACTTTTTTATTATTACAAAATTCTGCACACGAAATCAAAAGTTTCAGGTTTGGTGAAAAAATTAACTGACAAGCCTGATAAGCCGAAAAAGGGGTCACCAAACGGTAGGGATGGACTCGGGCCGGGCGGCCCGGCCCGGAACCGGCCCGGCCTGGTTACTGTTTGAACCGGCCCGGCCCGGGAACCGGTCCGGGGGGCGGTTCGGGCCAAATTATTTTTTTTTTGTTTTTTTTTTGAATTTTTTTTAAGTTTTTGGGTTGTGCTTGGTATTTTGGGCCATTTGAGGTGGTTTGGGGTGGTTTGGGGGTGAGGGGGAGGGTTGGGGGTTAATTAGGAAAAGCCAAAAAAAAAAAAATAGAACCGAGGCCCGGCCCGGCCCGGCACGAACCGGAACCGGGATTACCCGGGCCGGTTCTGGGCCTCCCATTTCTGAACCGAGGCCCGGCCGGGCCCGAACCGGAACCGGTCCACCCATACCAAACGGGCTCTAAAATGTAGAATCAAGTGTTTTTCAGTAATTAAGGGGCTAATTAGTTTAATTGATAGTATGGGGACTCAATTGTTTTTTCTTCTTATAAATTACTCCCTCCGTCCCGCTATGATTGTCCTATTTTACCATTTCGGTCCGTCCCACTAAGATTGTCTCATACCTTATTTGGTAAAGTTTGTGTGGTTCTAAATTATTCATACTTTATTCTTACTTTATCAATTCAATATTAACCACATAAACCCACTTTTATTAATAACCGTGTCACATTCTCTTATCCCAAACTTAGGGGGGCGGAGATAGTATAATACATGCGCATATTTGACAGTTTTCCCAAAAAGGTGAATACAAATGTGATTGTCACATTTTCAGTAGGCTTGGACCCGGTTCGGGCCGCCCGGCCCGGGACCGGCCCGGCCCGGCCCGTCACTGTACGGGCCCGGAACCGGCCCGATTCTCGGGTCCGGGTCCGGTTCGGGCACAGAACCGGTTGGGTTAGCGGGTCCGGGCTCGGGTCCTGTTTTTGGAGGCCCGGCCCGGCCGGGTCGGGCCCGGGCCTAACGGTCAGTTTTTTTTTTTATTAAAAAAAATCATTTTAATTTGAAAAAAAAAAACCTTTTGGCTCAACAGCCACTTCCCAAACGGCTATATAGCCGTTGGGGGGGTACCAGGGGGGGTCCGGGGTGTTTGGGGGTGGGGTGGGGTGGGGGGTGGGGGTGGGGGGTGGGGGTTAAAAAACCTATAAATACTCCTAATTTTAAACATTTTTTCACACCTCTTCTCCAACTCTCCCTAAATCCTACTCTCATCTCCAATTCTCCATATTCATCTTCTCAAATTCTCTTATTCTCCTTTATATTTTATTTTACTATTAAATATTTATACAATTATTATATCTATTTATATATTAATTATCTACTTATAAATACATATACTATATTTCTTATATTTCTTATCTACTTAATCTCTACTTATATTTCTTAATACATACATACATACTACATCTACTTAATATATACTTTATATAATAAAGTATTAAATATACTTTATAAACTATTACTATATACTTAATACATAATAATATCTACTTCTCTACTTAATAATATCTATTTTATATATACTTATTTTATAATATCTACTTTTATATATACTTTATAATATCTATTTTATATATACTTATTTTCTTATTTTCCAATCTCCAATTCTCCATTATACTCTAATATTTAATTCTTATACAATTATTATATCCACTTAATACATACATTCTACATCTACTTAATATATACTTTATATATTAAAGTATAAAATATAAGTGTATTACTCATCTTATAGTAGTATACTTATATATTATATACTATAAACATTATATTATATATTACTTACTATAACTAGTATTGTACTAGTTAATTAGTTAATTAGCATTCTTGTTACATTTATCATTATAATAGTTAATTAGTTCATTACCATTATTGTTACATTTTTCATTATACTAGTTAATTAGTTTATTAGCATTGTTGTTACATTTGTCATTATACTAGTTAATTAGTTAATTAGCATTGTTGTTACATTTTTCATTATACTATCTAGTTATTTACTTCATTAGTATTCTCATTAATTGTTAAAACAACTCTACTTCAATAAACTAGTTAATTGTCATTAATTCATTATAGTTAAAGTCACATTTTCTTATTTTCAATTTATATTTGTAGGAAGAAATAGTAGTTCAATCATTTAATTAAAGTACTTAACATTTTATTTAAGTAGTTTTTACTAAATTAAAGTACTTCAAAAGTTGGTATGATTTTAATTTTAAAGTCACACATTTATTCTACTTTGCACTAAATTAGTTTGAAGTATTAATTAAAATAGTTTTAATTAGTTGCATTAGTTTTGTATCCATTATTATATTGGTTGTCAATTAATATTTGTTACATTTTTAACATGGAAGGTGGTAGATATTCGGTTGATTTGGGTAACCTCCAACGCAATCGAAGGAACGAGATTGGGAGGAAGAAATCCCGCAAAGGTAAAGAACTTGCCGGTTCTTCATCTCAAAGCCGAGATGATTTTGAAACGGGTTACCAAAGGCGAGATGGAGATGTGATGTCTGAAGAACAACTCCAACAAGAATTGGCCCGACATAATAACCGCTTTCTACAACAACAACAAATGCCGACGACCATTGACGAAGAGGAGCTTGAGGATGAAGATGCGGAGGAATTGGAACCGGAGACGGCCGAGGAGGAGGGTGCCGGCAGCCACGACGCCGACGCGCCTGCCTCATCCCAAACCGCCACCGGTAATAAAAAAAAGTAAGTTTGAACTAATGAAAAATAATTTTGATAAATGGAAGGACCCACAAACCGGCTATTGGCACGCAACTTGCAAGTGGTGCAACAACAATTATAGTTTGGGAACCTCCGGCGGATACGGATCCGCCGCAAGGCATCTTAAGGCAAAGCACCCCATGGAGTATGCAAAATTAGGCGGCGGAACGGGGAAGCAAACTCAAATATCGAGGTTTGCGAATTCTCAACCTTTTGGTAATTTCTCCTACAATGATGCACAAAATTTGACTGGTATGGCTAACTTAATTTGTGAAGAAAATTTGCCTTATTTGTTTTCTGAAAGTCTTGCTTTAAGAGATTATGCACAAGGTAGTTTAAATCCTCAATTTAGAAATTATAGTCGCAAAACTGTTAAGAAAGAAATAATAAGGCTTTATAATGCGGAAAAGGAAAGGTTACAAATTTTTTTTGCAAACTTTGATGGGCGTGTTACTATTTGTTCTGACATATGGGAGGATGATTTTCATCATTTATATTATTTGGGTCTGACTGCACATTATATTGATGAGGATTGGAATATGCATAAACGTGTTCTTGCTTTTCGTGAATTTAATGATCGTCACACCGCTGAACATATTTATATTTTGATTGAGCGTATTTTAATTGAGTATAATTTGATTGATAAGGTGTTTGCTATTGGTTTCAATAATGCTACTAATAATACTGCTGCTATACCTAGATTGCGTGAGTTGTGTGGTGTCAATTCTTTGATGGGTAGATTTTTTCATCAACGCTGTGCATGTCATGTTATAAATTTATGTGTGCAAGACGGTTTAAAAGCGTTAGGAGATTCCATGGAGGTAATAAAGGGGGGGATTAGACGTATTTGGGGTAATGGTCAACTTAGATTAAAATGGAAAAGTTATTTGACTGAAAGAGGTGTGAGATATGTTGCTTTTCCTAAAGATTTGAGTATTCGTTGGAATAGTACTTATAAATTACTTAAAGTTGTTCTTAGATATAAAGAACATTTTCCTACTTTTTTAAAAGAACATGATAACTATATTATAAACGCGACTGAGATCGACACTTGCGAAAAAATTTGTAATGTTTTGATGTATTTTTTTAATGCTACTGAAACTTTTAGTCATGTTTATAAACCTACCGCAAACCAATTTATTCCACAAGCTGTTAATCTCGCCGATGCTTTTAAAGAATTTCAGAATGCCGTTTTCGTTCATTATTTTTGTGATCATATGAAGGAAAAGTTTTTAAAATATTATGCGCATATTTCCCATATTTATGGTATTGCATTTATTCTCGATCCTCGTTATAGACTTGCTAATTTGGAAGATTGTTTCAACTTCTATTATCTTGCGTTTTTCGGTGAATTTCCAATGTATGACGATAACCCCATAGATCCGAAAACGGAATACAACGAGGTTAGTACTTTATTTTATGCCTTATTTAATGAGTTTCGTGCACAATATATCAACGCTCCCCCTCCCCCGTCACGAACATCTTCATCTAAAGGAAAATCGATTTTTAAATCTACATTTGGCAATCTTATGAAAAAAACTAAAACAACTCACGTCACTGAACAAAGCGCATTGAATGAGATTACTTTGTATTTAACATATGAAGTTGATTTTGAAGAAAATGATGACTTTGACGTTCTAGACTGGTGGAAGTCAAAAGAAAGAACGTTCCCGATTTTAGCACGGATGGCTAAGCAAGTACTATCAATGCCGGTTTCAACAGTTGTTGTGGAACAAGAATTTAGTTCGGCCGGCAACGTCCTAACGGCATCTAGATCGAGATTGAGCGCGGAGTCTCTTGAGACGCTTATATGCTACCACGATTGGTTGAAGGCCGCACGTAGAACTCAAGAATTGAGCATCACCCCCTCCCAAAATTTTATGGATGACTCAACAACCGATGGTGGCTCTACCTATGCCGGAGATTCCGATTGATTATTATTTTAGAATTTATTATAAAATGTATTTTAATTTTATAGCACTTGTCAAATTTATTTATACTTGTACTTCATATTTCAAAATTGTAAACTTGTACTTCATATTTCAAAATTGTAAATTTGTAGTTGTACTTCAAATTAATTTGTAAACTTGTACTTCATATTTCAAATAAATATGTGTTCACTTTTTCATATGTAGCACTTCTCAAATTAATTAATTGGTTACAATCTAACGACTTAAAATTATTTTTCTAAAATATAAAGCCGGTTTTTAAATTAAAAATACATTTACAATATGTAATTTGTTTAAATACTTATACACCTATTTTGTAACATTTGTAAATTATAAATCAAACCACTTTTCTAAGTACAAATAGTTTTAGTTTTACTTAATTCATTAAATTAATTAATTTATTTTACAATATGTGTATAACTTAAAAAAAAAAAATTAATTCAAACCTCCCAAACGGCTATATAGCCGTTGGGGCTATGGGTGGGGGGCAGGGGGGTCCCGGGGGTGGTGGTGTGGGGAGTGGGGTTCAAAAATATCTATAAATACATCTATTTTCTAACATTTTTCTACACCTCTTCTCCAATTCTTCTCAAACTCTTCTCCATCTTCATCTTCTCTTATTATCCTACATTCCTACTTATACATATACCATTTTAAATATGGAAAGTACATCTTCCCTTATGCAAAACAATTTTGACAAGTGGAAGGACCCGAAGACCGGACTGTGGTGGGCAACTTGCAGGTGGTGCAAGAAAGAGTGTTGCTTGGGGCGTTCATACGGATACAGGATGCCAATAAAACATATGAAGTCCTGTGACAAAGGGAAAACAACAACCAACGGTGGCGGAAATCCCAATTGATATTCATTACAAAATGTATTTCGTATTGTTATTTTTTTCTCAATTCTCAAATGTAGTTCTTATTTCAAATAAATGCACTTGAACTTTGTTTTTAATAGCAATTTGTATAATATATAATTAATTAAAAAAAAATGTACTGGCCCGGCCCAGCCCGGCGGGTGGCCCGACCCGTGACCCGGGCGGGTGGCCCAGCCCGAACCGGAACCGGTCATTGACCGGTCCGGTCCCGGGCCTACCATTATAAGACCCGAGGCCCGACCGGGCCTTGACCCGGCCCGGGCCCGACCCGGCCCGGGTCCAACACTAATTTTCAGTTTAGAACTTTAGACCCTGGTTTAATGCAAAGTTGTGCAAACACCGAGTGAACCAGAAAATGAAAAGGTGTGGTTAATATTAGTTTTGATGAATGAGAAACCATATTAACCGCATCATGTTTTCTTCAAAAGGAAATAAAAATAATTTTGGTCGGACAAAAACAGGAATGAATGAAAATAAGACAGGCAACAATTATTAATTTAGAAAAAAGAAAGTTTAAAAGGGTAAACGGAATCAACCATACAAAATTGAATCAGAAACTTCCTTTTTCTTTTTTATAGGGCTATATATATATAGACGCATTGGGCATATTCTTCTACTCTCTTCTCATATGAGGGAGAGTGTAAATTTACATGTGGGGTCCAAGCGGCAACCTACTCATGACTTGTTGATAAGCTGATGAGTTATTAGAGAGATTCAGGACATGGTCAGAGACGGGCTCTACCTTCGGCTCTCCCTTCGGGAGCATGAAGCTGCTCATGCCATTCATTGGACGTTGTTGTCCAAGATATGGATTAATCTGAAGACCAGGAAATCCACTCATTGCCATGTTGCTTAAACCTTGAGGGTTCATCCCAAAACCAAAACCTGGGGTACTGGCTAGTTGTGTCCTCCCAGGCAGCCCAAATGAAAGTGGCGCTTCAAACCTGGGAACAGTCCCGTGATGTTCTGAGGGGTCAGGACTGTGAAAATGGGTTCGGGCAGGAGGATTTGATACTGCAGAATTAACATGACTGTTGTTTCGTGCAGCAGGAACATCATGGTTGTGCTTTCCTTCATAGGTGGTGATCACCGACTTGAGATCATGAGAAGCCCTCTCCACATGTTTCCTGACATTGCAACCTGCACTTGTGCATTTGTAGTAACTTCTGTAAAATGGGAGGGGAGTAAAGAAAAATAGTCAGCCAAAAAGATTTTACTTTTCAGATTTCGATCCATAAATGAGAACATAGAGTGGGAGAACTTTTGACAACCTTGGATTTGGGTTCCCTTTGACAACCTTCTGACCATACTTGCGCCAGCGATAACCATCGTCAAGTATGTCAACCTCACTGGTAGTCTGCACCACCACCCTCGGTTCTCTGATGGCTCTCGTTGCACCAGTCATGTCTGCCGGATAAATCTCAAGCTTCCTAGATAATCAGGGATATTAATAAAAAATCAGGGTACTAAATATGGGGAGAACTGTTGTTATTTCGATGAAGTTAACTCATAACTCATTTGACTATATTTTAACTAAGGGTTCACTATTGAAAGTCAAAACATTTATCCATCAACATAGTAAGCCGTGGCTGCCCTTCTCATTATTCCTTCTTCTCTGCTACTCCGGAAACAATGTCTTGAGAGTAGGAGAGGCGGAATGAGGAGGTTGTGAACAGAAAGTGGTGAGAATCATTAAGGTTCAAAGAGTAACTAATTGACTTTTAAAAACACAAAGTTAGATTAGTCATTATGACATAACCTCAAGGGGCAATGATAATTATCCCTTAAGTATGTCAGGATGTATATTTGTTTGGAATCTAAGTCATAGAATCTGATGGATAAAACACTAGAAACCTTCTCTTTGACTCGGACTCGTCCCCTTCACCCTCGTAGGCTCGTAGTGATACACTTCCATGTGTTCCACGATCATCATCGTCTTCCTCATTTGAAAAAGTAGAAGACATGTCCACTGGTTCACCTGATTCAAACTGTGCACCATTTTGGGCCACTACACTGCAGTATTCTGAGCCCAAAGGTGCAGAGGTTGTAACCTCAAGATTTTCATTCTTCCAACTACAAGTATCACTATCACCTCCGTTTCCAGCTTGTTTGGTTCCACTTTCTATTTGCATATCACTGATTCCATTTGTGGGTGCAGGTAGAGATTTTGTACTAGGTTTTGAGTGATTGTGGGCCCCCTTGTATATTATCTCTGTAATATGACCCTCAAGAGAGCGCTCCACTTTCTTCTTGACCGTGCAGTTTGAATGCGTGCACTTGTAGTAACTCCGTGGATACTCACTTCCTTTGACTTGCTTTTGCCCATATTTTCTCCAGTTATAGCCATCCTCAGCTGGGGAACCACCAAGACTACTGGAATCTCCAACTCCTTTTTCATCAGCATCCTCATCAAGAGGTGGAGAATTATGCTGTTGATATGTTCCATTCTGTGGATAAACTTGAGCAGTCTCTACATTGGGAGGGACGTGAGACCTTTCTGATTGGATTGAACTCTGAACACAGAGAGAGGACTGATGTATTGAACCGGATGGAGGAACCTGCAAGCAATGTAACAAATTAGGGAGAGTTTAGGGTGGATTGGACGAAGGGACGCTAAGAGAAAGGTTACTTTGTTTAATGTGCCGGGAAAGAGGTAAGTGCCAGTTGGAACGACTTGCTTGAAAGCAAAGGTAGACAAATTATTGTTGTCGAAAGAGAACTTTTTGCTTTTATCAGAAGCCTCCCTGCACAACGATGAATTCTGAATGTCACCTGACAAGGGAAATGGAAATTTCCCCGTTGTTGGGGATGGCTGTACCTGCCAAAAATATAAAAATAAAACGATCACAACGAAGCATATTCCAGCCCGCATTTTGAATAAAATGGGAAGTGATAAAAGTCAAGATTGAGTTTGGTAACACAACGCGGCCATAAGACACATATGGAACCACACTTAAAGATCAAATCAATATACTCTGTATTATGTAGTTTAGCCCCAGGTCTTATCAGCCAATTTATCTCTTTAATTTGCCACTGTGGGTTCTAGCAGAAAGTACTCAAACAAGACATATAGTGAGGATTTTGAAAGTTTTATTTTCATATACTACAACAACATTCCAGTCTTAGTCCCAAAACAGTTTGGGATCTGCTTAGATGAATCGACATATGAGATTGGAGCTGAAAAAGATGAGAAAGATAAAAAAAGATAAGAATGATAAAAATAAGATAACATACAAAAGATAAAAAAAGATAGGATAAAGATAAAAAATGATAAGATAGAAAGGATAAAAGAATGTAAGATACAAAAGATACAAAGATAAAGATCATACGAAATATAAAAAAGGTAAAAAGATAAAGAACATAAGAAAGAAAAAAGATAAAAAGATTAAAAAAAATGAAAAGAAATTAATCCTTCACACGAATATGAAGTGTAGCGTGCCCTTGCATATTTGACACCAACCCATGCGAAAGGATGTCGAGTCACCAACGGGCGACGACCTAGCTGTAGTGATATTCATATTTCGATTCATGTTGGAAAAAAGGTATATCATGTGCACATTGGCGTCCTCACAAGGCAAGGGTCTGGGACACTTCCCTGGACCCTCATCTTGTCGGGGCGCCAATGTGCACCAGGCTGCCCTTTTTTTTTACTTGGAACTTAAAAGCACAAGACATCTTTTGGTACAATGGAAAGAGAAGACCAATATGCTGCTATGAAACGAGTAGCTTAGATATTCACTTTAGTTAAACTTTACAGATTAGGGTTTAATCATTTAAACTGGAAGCAGAAAAATTCTCTGGGAAGTAATGAAGAAAAGCAGTAAACACTAGACAAACATTATGGACTATAGAACACTATAGAATTAAGGATTAGCTTTTTTGAGCTCAAACCACATTAAAAGCTCAAATCCAATCATTAGCTAGTTCAACCCAAAGTATTATTAGCCCATGATTCTTTCTTTGATTTTCCGATGTGAGATTCTAACAATTATTAACACTTACCAGTGAATTTGAAACAAAAACAGGGGAATCTAGCAGGGTTGTTGGACTGAGACCAGGAGGAATTGTCAAGTAAGGAGACCGAACTGCTTGGTTCTGTGAAAGGTCAGC